CCATCAGCTGTCATATGTGGACGCACTGTATAAACCTCATGCACCTTGTTCTTCCTTCGGTTATTCTACTTCTGCTCTGACCATTTGAGCTGATGGAACGAGTAAATGTCTCTACTGAGATCAATAAAGTTAATCAATCGATCAACAAACCAGCGACAGCTTGCAATGACATCAGAAAAAAGAGATCTGGTTTTAAAAAATAAAACAAAAAAGTAAACTTTAAAAAAATAAAACATTGTTCCTAAAAATAGAAACTAATGGTGACCATGCAAACAAAAATCTCAAAAAGTTTTTTGAACGAAAAAGAAAGTTTTCAATTATTGTTATTATTTTTATTTTATTTTACAATTTTAAGTACTTAAATTTTAATTTTTCGAATTGCATTTTCTTTGAAGGTGTGAGCGTCTCCGGAACGGACGCCGGCTTATTGATCCCAGACACCCACCTTAGAGGTGTGGAAGCTCTTGCTCTTCTTTGGGTCGGAGGAGGAGGACGTCAGGGAGCTGTTGGGAAGCGATGGCAGCTTGAGGTGCTGACTGAACAGAGACGTCGATCCTTCCTGCATCACCATCACCTGCCAGAAGGAAAAACCACCTCAGCTTCTTCATTCAGAACACGGAGACTCAACATAGATATGTAGAGAATTCTCATTAATGTTCTGGTTATACTTGGAAAACGTTTAATCTTTCCTTCTACACATAAAATAAATAGATTTTCTGTTTATATAAACGTAGAAAAAACTGAGTTTATTTCCCAGGAGCCTCGGTTCTAACGTCTGATCTTCACACAGTGATAAAGAGGTTAGAAAAACGTCCCTGAAGGACCTCCTCCTGATGCCTCTGAAACTGATAAATCTGTTTGGGTGTCCACACTGCAAAAAATGTAATCGTAAGTAATTTTTTTAAAAAAAAATTTGCTTTTGTTCTTGAATTGAGGAGGTAAGTGAGACATTTTGCCAATGGAACAAGACAATTTACATTTAAAATAAGAAAAAAACATTTGTATTGTCTTATTTCAAGTGCATATTATCT